TGTTCATTGTATTGCCTAGTTCGTCTGGATGACATCTTTCCCTTATTTGTAATTCTATACCTTCTCATCAATTTATTCATGTTTCTTGATACCATGGCAATTTCTTCTTCAAGAGCTTCTAGATCGTCATCAATATCATCTTCAGGTCCTTCAGTTGTAGTTTTGAAGGCAACTATTTTCTTCTTGTCTTCGTGATGTTTTCTTGAGATGGGTTTTCTCAAATTCTATAAGATCTCCTCGTAGTTCATCATATGAAAGCTTGTTTTGATCTTAAGACTCGAGTGCAACTACTTTTGTTTGCCATGTGGTAGGCAGACTCCTCGGGATTTTTTTTAACTTGATCACCACTTGAGTAGGGCTTACCAAAGGCTTTCAGATCTCCAATGATTTTGCTAAATCTTGCAAACATTTGTTGAACGGATTCTCCTTCTTTCATCTGGAAGAGTTCATAGTCATGAACCGACATGTTTATCCGAGTTTCTTTCACTTTGTTGGTTCCTTCATAAGTAACTTCCAGTTTATCCCATATTTCTTTGGCAGTATCATAGCTTGAAATTTTCTCGTACTCTTCTCCACTTATAGCATTATAGAGCGAATTTCGAGCCTTAGCATTAACTTGAAAACAACCATTTGCTTGTCTGTATATTCGTCTATATCTTCAGGATCAGCGGGAGGTTGAGTTGCTACTGGCAGTGGGTAGTTTCCCTTTTTTATGGCACGTCATACTTTGATGTCATAAAATTTTGTATAGATTTCCAAGCGTACTTTCCAATGAGAAAATTGTTGTCCATTGAATTATGGTTGCCTTACTTGCGATATCCCTTCTTGAAAGAGTGCTCCAATTATTACTTAATTTGCCATGATCTTTTCTCACTAGCTGTTAAGCAAAAGATAAAAAATGTGAGTCTGGCTCTGATACCAATTGAAAGTACAAGAGAGGGTGAATCGTCGATTTTTCTTCTCTGAGCTATAAGTAGTTGACTAATTTACCAGTTAGTTGACTAGAGATAAGAGCAGAAAAGTAATAATATATAAATAAAGTGAGGGAACTAAAGACACCAGGATTTTTATACTGGATTGGATTCAATGTGAATCCTACGTCCAATCCCCTTGGGTTGCAAGGGTGCTCTCTTTCAGTAGTTGAAGTTTCTTGATTACAAAATGGTTGATGTAGCGTTACACCAACAGCTTAGTCACTATGTCACTTTTCTCTTCTTGATATTTTCTTCTCTCACTAATTACACAGCAGATTAAAGAGAACTACTATGCTTGTTTGGAGTAGAACAAAAAGAGTGATAGTGGTTCATTTGAAGTATATCTTCTTTAAGCCTGGAACAGATGTATATATACTTCGTGAGTCCTTCTTGACTCTTTATTGATGTGAATCTTGAGAGATTACAACCCCCAAGGGAGTTGATCCTTAAAATGAATCATAAATTGATTCTTTCCAAGAATAAGGTCAAGTTTTTGTTGATCTTCCTTGACGTGTGGCCTTGACAGGCTTTTTTTCTGCTAGGTAGATCTTTTCGTTACTTGAGTGATCAGCGATGGATCCCTTGATTTCGGGCTTTGACGATCTCTAGTGCAAAGCATTGCAATCTTGTCTTCCTTGATTTGGGACCTTCCAATAATAGCTTTCGTCAATCATCTATCAAATCATTGATTGAATCTTCTTCTGGATCTCCGCTTTGTCGTCCTTTTTCATCTCTAATCATTGATAATTTTCCTTTTCTTTGATTCTAGATCTCTCTTTGATAGATTGTTTCCTTAATCCATACTTGAATGATAGGGAATCTTGATTCCTTTCTTTTATCCCTTTTGATCCTACATCAACAGTGATATATTATTTTTCATCATTGAAACTTATATTTAATTATGTGGACACCACTAATGTTCAACCATGTGGCTTTAATGAAATTCCACATGGGCAAACAAGGGATATTAATGTTAGGGCAACACACTCACCTAACAATGATATAAATAGGGTTGATAACACTCATGGGAAGGGTAAAGAGAGGATGTTGATATAGAAGAGGATATAGAAGATGATACAGAAGAGTCTAGTGAAGATGAAGGTGAGTTCTATAACTTTCATTTAGCAACTAATTCTGAAGGTGATGTTGAGGGTGATGAGGGTTATGACGGAAGTTTTGAGAGTGAGGATGGTGATTATGAGGCTATTTCTGATGATAATGATGATGATACAAATGAGTCATTATATGGCAAATTACACCTAAATAATTGGTGTAAGGCGGTCGATGTCAAATATAATAAACCAACTAGGTTGTGGTCGAATCCCACAGGGGATAGGTATGAAAAGATTACTTGAATAGTGTGAAACTTGACTTAAGTCGTAATCCTACTTTGTTAGCTTAAAAAGAGAGCGTTGTAATTGTGAATTATCAAGAGAACTATTTTGTTATGAGAATGTCATTTACTTAATTATGGAAACCAATGTTGTGTCCCCATCAATGGAATGTAATGCTATCAGTGTTAATATGATATATTTCTAATGGAAGGTCCTTTGATATGCAAATGGTTCCTAAATGACTACTCAATATTTTCCAATAGCTAGGTAGTATTTTCTCTTACGATTTTTCCAAATATAAAAGAGTTACAATTAATAACAACCAATTTATGCCAAATAGAACCCACTTTTTCCTAAGCGATTCTATTAAACAAGGTTTAAAGCCTTGAGTTTTTGCTATTCAATTCTACCAAACCCTAACCCACTTTTCCAAGTAAAGATAGAGTGAAATGGCATTAGTCAATGTTCGCAACCATCAACATTAAATGAAACATGAGAAATGAATAAATACCAACCAACCATTATATATATATATATATATATATATATAT